CACACACACACACAAAAAAAAAAAAGAAAAAAAAAAAGGAGCTTATCCAGGCTGCAGATCCCTCTTTGTACGGCTTGCTGTCTCGCAACCAATCTCAATGGTTTTCAATTCAATCAATCAGTACTATGCATTGATTAAACCACCCGTACTTCCTCGAGTCGTGCCCGTTAACGCGCCACCATTTTAGAAAACGTACGGGCCACTACAGGAGCGCCCAAATTCATCCGCCGACTAGAAATGTTTCTACTCTTTTTCTTTTTCCCGCGGCCAATAGCTGCACCACGTACTGGTGATTTAGCCCACAAGTGCACGGCCCCAGCCATGCAGTCCAAAGCTCGTCGCCACAAGAAAACGATGGGCCTAAACGTCAAACGATGGGCCTACCATCGATACATTGGGTCGGTTTCACGCGTCCGGAATGCAAAGCGTCATGCCTGCGGCCCAGGTAGCCATGTAATGCTGGTTTAAACGACCAGTAGCAGCCCCTCTATGGCGGTGCCACAGCATAAAGCCAAGCCCATAAGGGGGAACTTCTTTCTTGTAGCTTGTCGAGGTTTTTTTTTTTTTTTTTTTTTTTTTTTTTTTTTTTTTTTTTTTGTGGTCCGATGGACCGGGGATCAGATATTAAACTGATCAGAACAGATAAAGTGCACTTGATCTTAGCCACATTCAAAAACATGAGGTTCTCTTTGTTGGGAAAATCCCCTCTGATGGCCGGATGGACACAACAAAGCTATGTTCGCAGGGGTCCCCTGTATAAGCTTTGGGAGTAGTCGTAGGTACTACCGTAACCGTCACCCCAAAAATGAATGTATACAAGCTATATTTCCGGCCAGATACAGCCAAAATGAGGGTGCGTTGTGTTCGGGGGAAGACGGTAGGGAGTGAAAAGATGAATTGAAAGGATTTGAAAGATGATCACAGATTTGATAGCCGCGCTTCAGAAATGAGAGAGAAAATGCCAGCTCCCCGACGCCGACCTCCGAATCCTTTGGGAGCTGTCGTCGGGCCCGGACTCCGGAAATGCCAGCTCCCGAAGGATTCGGAGGCCGGGCCCGACGACAGCTGCCATTGATAAATCTAATTGGCGACCGCCGTTTCGTTTCGGCCTCTCCTGAAAAGTCAGAGGCCCGCTATTTTTTTTTTTTTTTAAGAGATGCCCCGCTATTTTCCTAACCGGCAAAGGTACTAATGGCTTAAAAGAAAAAGAAAAAAACGCGTAAGCGAATGAAAGAGACACTGTTGAATTGCACCCCTGAGTTCGAATCCAGGGCCGTGGTCCCACCAGCGAAGGGGATAGGATAGAAATCCTGAATCTGGCTATGTTTTACGCAGAGATACAGAAAAGCAGATCTATCTCGATTTCCTTCTGCCGTCCTCGAACACGTTCAATCCGATGCCCTTTGCTAATGGGACCATGGCCCAGATGGGACCAGATGAACAAAATTCCTGAATTGCCTATAGGGCCGGTCAGTTTCATGATGATATCTCAAGCGTGCTGTAAACGAATAAAAGCCACCGTGCACCTGGGTAACCGATGACAACACCTGAAACAAAAAAAAACAAAAAAAAACTGATGACAACACCTTTTATTTTTTGCCCTTGAAAGTTGAAACCACCAGTACCTTTCCCATATGTCGGCCGCGGGCACTGGCGCCGGCCCGAAAATCAAGACTGGCCGCTGATTCGATTTATCGGCAGGTGCCCTTCCATTTCAAGCCAGCGCGTTACCTGGCATGCGTCTTAAAAAATAGCTGGGAACGGTACTACTGGTGGCTTAAACCACCAGTACTTGGGCGATGCCTTAGCATTAACGCTACGCGATTTCCGCGGCCGGCGGACCGTCGATAAATCGAATCGACAGCCCGCGCTGCTTCGAGATTTGGGCGCCCGGCGCTGTGTGCAGTGCCCAAGTACTGGTGGTTTAAAGCACAAGTACATCCAGCTATCGGTCGGTATCGGTCGGGGGTGCTTGTCAGAATCCGAAAAGCGACACAGGCCACCCATTTTGTTTATGGACGGCACACAAGTGGTTAAAAGGGCCCCCCCAGTTTTCAGCCCCAGGTTAACACCCCCAACAGTGAAAAGGGCGCTGGTAACCCCTTCTGGCACGGGGCGCCTGCGCAGTCACGCCGTCTTTTTTAGATGGCGTCTCGTAAAGCGCCGAGTTGCTTTTCAGCAAGGCTGGGGTTGTGTACTGGTAGCGGTTTAAGGATGGACATCAACGATGACCAGGCGAGATGAACCGCAGCAATACTGCTATGGGCTTGGCTCCACTACTGTCCACATGCACAAAACACAAAACATACATACGTATGGTGGCGTATCTTTTTTTTTTTTTTTTTTTTTTTNTTTTTTTTTTTTTTTTTTAAATTTAGCCCCTCCACTGTTAGTGGTCATATGGTGGCGTATCTTTGCATGTTGTAGGGGAAGATTGATTCTCAATTTGCACATGTGGAGAGTAGTGGAGTGAGGCCCTATGTGTCCTTTTCAATCCACCCGCAAACTCATACCCCTCTCTTTTACCCCCTGATCTTTTCAACCCTTCCTTCTCCATGCATGAGTTAGGGCCTCGCTCCACTACACGACACTCTACATGCATTTGGAAGCTTTCTGGACCAGATACACAGAAAATGTTAGCCTCATCCGCATGCACCTGGAACATAAAACGTCCAAATGCATCTGAGTTTCCTCGACGCCTGAATCTGGACGTGTTGTCGGCGATGTGTTGTGTGGTGGAGTGAGGCCCTTACCACCGCAGGCAATCATTTTTTTTTTTTTTTTTAGGAAGCAGGCAATCGTATTTACAAAATGCAAATTGACAGAGTAGTGACAAAGCTCTTGGGCCAAGTCCCACTAGCCGCATTGAGTTTCCTCAACACCTGAATTTGGACGGGTTTCTGGCAAAGTGCAGTTGAGGAAACTCAAGGCCAATTCTGCACATCTCCACAAACACGTCCAGATTCAGGCGTTGAGGAAACTCAACGCTGCTAGTGGGACTTGGCCCCTGGCGAGGTGTGGAGACAGATAGGCCAAGGGCCAGATCCCACTGACAAAGACGAGTGGAAAAAGTGTCTGAATCTGGACATGTTCCACACAGAGATGCAGAAACACAGATCAATCACAGTTTTTTGCACCTCTCCACAAACACGTCCAGATTCAGACACTTATTCTGACCTTAACGCCTGAATCTGGACGTGTTTTCCGGCGCATGTGCAGTTGAGGAAACTCAATGCCAGTTCTGCACATCTCCACAAACACGTCCACATTCAGGCGTAGACAGATTGGCTCAGATAAGCTGTTAACACCTGAATCTGGACATGTTTTCCGGCGGATGTGCGGTTGAGGAAACTCGACGCCAGTTCTGCACATCTCCACAAACACATCCAGATTCAGGCATTGAGGAAACTCAACGCTGCCACTGGGACTTATAGCCCCTGGCAAGGTGCGGAGAGATATGCTGTTTCATCATCGGACTTTCACCTGCTCATCAGGAGGATGAACCTGGACACTCTTGCCCGCATCCATCTGCACCAACTTTTATTTTATTTTATTTTTTCCCAGTTTGCACCAATTCTGCCTACCTGAGGTTACAGACAGACGTTCCTGTGATAAATGACATTCATAGATCATATTTATAGGGCCTCACTCCACAGCTAAAATATTCTACATGTACCTGGGCTGTATGTGGACCCGATACATTCAGATTCTGGGACAATCTGAATGTATTGGGACCACTACCAGGTGGAGGTGCGCCTTCCGATTGTTGTACAGTGGTGCCTGTGATAAATGACATTCATATATATTATAGGGCCTCACTCCACAGCTCAAATATTCTACATGTACCTGGGATGTATGTGGACCGGATACATGCAGATTCTGGGACAATCTGAATGTATTGGGACCATTACCAGGTGGAGATGCCTTCCGAATGTTGTGCAGTGGTGCCCCCTGAACCGTAGGCAGAAAGGGCAAAAAGGACAAGAAACGGCGTGCCGGTATTTTTATTATGCACAAACTGTACTCAAATGGAATAAAATACTATGAACAAACAAACCTACACGTAGGGACTTGTGAGCATTGCAGCCTCCTAAAAAAGGACAAAAGGGGAAAAAAAATAAAATGGGAAAAGCATCAGACCCTCCTGATTGGCTACTGAGCCAGAAGCTTCCCGGCCTTGAGCCATGCCATCGCTCAAAGGACAAAAGGGGAAAACAGAAGAAGTGAAAAGCATCAGACCCTCCCGATTGGCTACTGAGCCAGAAGCTTCCCGGCCTTGAGCCATGCCATCGCCACCTCATTCCCATCCCCGGCTGCCTGTTCGAACAACATTCTTGCAATCTGAAGATGATGCTCCTTCGCGACGTGGAGACCGTCTGCTTGACTGCTCTCCATCTCACCCTCCTGACTTCTCCCCTCTTCCGACGGTTCGACGCTTCTGTACGGACCTTCATCTCTATGTTCCGGATCGGTACCCTTGTCTTCCTCTTGCCGGTTTCCACTCCGGCCTTCATTGCCAGGGTCGTTGCAGGGAGCAACCGCCCCTGAGGGTCGGTATCGGCGAGACAACCCTTTGGCAATGAACGCGCCGTAGACAGCTGCCGCTTCGGCGAGTCCTAGGTCCGCTGCTTCCGCAAAGCACGCCTCGGCCTTGTCCAGATCCTGGACGACCGTGTCGCCGGTGAAGTATGCCGTACCGACCACAAGCAGCGCACGCGGGTGTCTTTCCCTCGCAGCAGCCTCGAGGTATCTGAGCGAAGCGCTCAGTGGGTCGGGCACTTTCTGACAAATTGCTACTCTGGCCGTTTCGGCGATAGCTCCCGCTTCGGCGTCATCGGCACCCCGAAGCCGACAGCCAAGCTCGTACTGCGCTTCTGGGAGCTGCATCTCTGCCGCATGGAGCAAGAGCTCAGCACCATTCTCGGGGGAATGGACAGGCCCGTCGAAGTCTAGATGAAGGCAAGCTAGTGCAAGCATAGCACGCGCATCGTCCTGATCTGCCGAGAGTGCCACATGAAAGCACTCCTGCGCCTTCATCATCGTCGGAAAGTACCGCTCATTGCCCGGACTCATCATTCTTATCGCGTCCAACAGCTGCATGCCTCGCTGCAGCGCAGCCGCACCCCCCTCTCCGACACCGGCTTGCCTCAGAGTTGGCACTACAACCCCGCCCATGCTGCTCCAATCAGTTACACGAGAACGCTGGCGGATACTTTGCATCCCAGCCGTTGAATCGCCTTGACCGAGCAACCCCTCCTTCGCACGTCTTTCAAACTCACTTGCGTCCTCCGCAAAGGAGGGTTGCAGGAAACCAGTCCCTCCGCCGCCGCCGCCTCCTGCTACTGCTGGTGCTGCTGCTGCTTCTGCTTCTGCTTCTGCTTCTGCTGCTGCTGATGATGATGATGATGATGCTGATGCTGATGCTGATGCTGATGCTGCACTGTTAATGGCATCGACCCTTCTACAAGCTCCTGCATGCTGTCTCTGCGCCGGTCGCAAATTGCTGTTTATCAGGCCAGTAGGCAGCAAAACATGCCGCAGAAGACATTGCGAGAGTTCATTTACAGCACGCCTTGTTGCGAAAACCAGGTGCTTTCCTGGTGTCGTCACCATCTTCACCCTCTCGCAGCTAATTGGACTGGCCGGTTTGACTTTGTTCGATCGGTCAACAACAGGTCAGTTGCAGCTTGAATGTTGAAGACAGAATTTGGCCCTGATTATGGTCAGATACACATCCTGGAAAGTCAAACCGGCCAGTCCACACAGGTCAGTTCACCATCCATGATGCACAACGCAAATCCACAGAAACATCATCAGCAAAGGTAAACAATGAATGACAAATGATCAGCAGCAGACTCACACTGGGAATGTTGAAGACAGAATTTGACCCTGATTATGGTCAGATTCATTCAGGAAAGTCCTAGTGTGAAACACACCTTATGGTACTCAAAGAATTGCCCTCGGACCCCAATCAACCTCCTCCCTTCTCAAAGGGAAAAGACGTCTGCAAACAGAAAAAGTTAAACCACCAGTACCTCCGAAAGTCGCCACGGTGGCGGCGGCAATGATAAATGAACGGGCCACTGCGGAAGCGATCAGATTCATCCGACTACCTTCTTCCCCCCGAACACAACGTACGGTCATCATAGCTGTATTTGAGGCATCTTTCCGTCTAGATAAAGCTGTAATGACCGTACGTTGTATTCGGGGGAAGAAGGTAGAAACACTTCTACTGTATTTTGTCCCCGCCGCACATGTATGGGAAAGGTACTGGTGGTTTAACAGCTAAATGAGCTTTATATCCTTACCTGCCCCAGGGGTACACAATGCCACACAGTGCCTGACCCCCCTAGGTGAAGTAAAGAGGCTCCAAGTTCCCCTCCTTTTCCCCCCCCTCCCTCTCCCCGTGGTGAAGCCATGCTGGCAATCGTGGAGATGGCCGCAATGGTGGCCATGGTGCTGATCGTAAAGTGTCGATGGTGGTGATGGTGGCCATGGTGGTGGCGATGGTGGCAGTGATGGTGGAGATGGTGGCAATGGCGGTAGTGATGGTGGAGATGGTGGTGGCGATGGTGGTGGCGATGGTGGTCATGGTGGCAATTTCCTGGCAGCGTTGGCGATGGTGGTGATGGTGGCAATGGCCGCAATGGTGGCGATGGTGCTGATTGTAAAGTGGCGATTGTGGCGATGGTGGTGGCGATGGTGGTGGCGATGGTGGTGATGGTAGCGATGGTGGCGGTGGTGGTCATGGTGGCAATTCCTGGCAGCGTTGGCGATGGTGGCGATGGTGGCGATGGTGCTGATCGTAAAGTGGCGATGGTGGTGGCGATGGCCGCAATGGTGGCGATGGTGGTGGCGATGGTGGCGATGGTGGTGGCGATGGTGGAAGTTCCTGGCAGCGTTTCTTTTTCAGGCCTGGATGTTATATAGCTCGTCGGGACGTGGGGTCCACAATTCCGCGTCGGGATACCCTGATCTCCCGGCTGGCATCGCTCCTAACCAATACATTGAAGCTCTGTCTTATGAAAAAAGGAAAAAACTAAAAAGGAAAAAAGGAAAAAACTTCAAAAAACGAAAAAAGGGGAGGAAAAAAGGGGGGGGGAAAAAAAAGACGAGGGATGGAAGAGTGACACATATACAAAAAAAAAAAAAAAAAAAAAAAAAAAAAAATCTCAGTACTGCGTTCTTCTTTGAAAATTGCATG